TGTGTGCAATGCATTTTAGAAAGATGTCAAGTTTTTCTGCTGCTTTGAATTATTTGTTTCAACAAAACCCCATGCTGTTACTTATGTTTGCGTTCAAATGATTAATAAAATTCACCTGACATTTAAATTGAAAAGCAGGATGACAACTCTAAAGACTAAAGTATTCACAGTTTAGCAGGTTATTTCCCTTCGTAATAAATGCAGGGAGATAGACATAAAGAAGTAATGAGCAGAAATAAAGGCTCGGTGCTACATTGCTGGTCTAAAGAGTTCCTAGCAGTTTGTCCTCTTCTTTTATAATTGCTTTCAAAGGGACTACACTCTGAATGATTGACGCCAGCGCTCAAACAGAAACTCACCAGTCAGTAGGACCTTTACAGAGCAAACTCCTATCACGGCCTTCGTGAAAGAAACTCGATTACAATACGCCGTCACAATTCGGGACGCAATGTTTTCGTTTCAACCTCACTCCGACTGCGGATAAGGTCACCCAGGGAGAGGTCCAAGAAACCACGTTCAACCCATAGGCTGAGTTATATTAGGTGGGGCTTTAAAACAACAACAAAAAATTGCATCCAACATTGGGACGCAGTGTGGTTTCAAGTAGGGCTGTACCGAATAGTTATTATTACTATTCGGCCGAATACGAATACGAATATAAATATTGTATCATCATCATCATCAGATGCCTTGCCGACTGGAGTAGGCGATCATGCCTCGCCACAGTCTGTGATCTCCTGCAGCATGTATTAGTTCGAGTGCAGACACACCTCTATGCCATGCAACAAGACTGTCAAGAATCTTCTCTCGTTGTCTTCCTCTATCCCTTCTTCCACATATCGTTCCAGTGGTTACCAAAGGCTCCATTTTCCCCTCTTTTCATAATCTGGCCGAAATATGATGTCTCCTTCTGATGTCGATGATTAGTTGTCTTCGGGCTCTCGCCTCTTTTAAAACCTCTGGCTGTCCAGGGTATTTTAAGCATTGTTCTGTAAAACAACATCTCAGAGGCCTCATGAAATTGTTTGGCCTGCCTACCGATTGCCCACGACTCACAGCCATATGTTAAAACTGGATGTATGTAGCAAGCAAGAATTCTTTTCTTAACATTTAATCACAAAGATATATTGCATAAGATGTTCTTCGTTTTATAAAATGCAGTTTTTGCCTGTCCTCTTTTCGACAGTGGCGAGGAAAGACAATTCAAATTTTAACTTTTAAATATCTTTATGCCTTCTTTATTAATGTCACAATTTATAACCGACTTTTTCTTGATTTTCGCCGCGGCACCCCTGGCATACGCACCCAACTGCTGTACCGCGCAACCGGGTCGCAGTTTCCCCCGCTACGACTGACTTAGGCAACAGCAACTATTGTGTTAATGAGAGAGTTATTTTAGTCCATCGTAGTTTGTGCAGAAATGGGTGTAACGTAACTTTTCGTATTCGGCCCGACCGTATTCGGCCGAATACCCAATAGTTATTAGGTCCACTATTTGGCCCCGAAGCGAATACGAAGCGAATATTCCGTACAGCCCTAGTTTTAAGGGTACTGCGGCTGTTGTCAGGGACCCAAATATAACCTAACGGTTGAACTGGATTTCTGGGATTTGTATCTGAGTGATCCTCATCCGAATGGTGGTATTTTTTGTCACCGGGTGTTGGTCGCTTGTTGTATGGTCCTCATGGAGTTGAACGACACAGAAACTCGACTGCAACCGTGCTAATACGAGACGAAATTCTTTGTCATTTTAGGGCCTTAAGCCGGCTGTCGTCATGGACCCTAATATAACCTAACGGTGGAGCGGAGGTTCTGGGAGATGTGCACCGGGGATTCTCATTTGAAAATTGTGGCGCTTTGTGTCTTTAAAACTCGCCCCCCCCCCCCATCCACCCTCCCGCCAGCACGCCCACTACCTGCACTTTGCTGTCGAAAACGTCTTTTATGTCACGTGCACATCCTGTCTGTGGGAACCTATCCATTTTATCTGAAACCATGCCCTCCGCTTCTGCCCTCTCCATCCACAGTGACGTATGAAATGATTCAAGTATTTCAGTTTCCAAGACTAGATTCTGTTTATGAGGCAGTTTTGTTTAGATTTGGTGCAATTATAATTTCTTAACTAACATAACTGGCACAAAGAAACCAGACCACAATTATAACCTATACTGCTCGCAGTAGGTTGAACGTGGTCGATTTTTTTGTTATGTTTTACATAAATGGACAATACCGCGTGTTGTATATTTCGCCATTCTAGAGCTTTTAACACTTCTAAAAGATTTAGATACTGGGTCTAACACACAACCCCCTAGAGAGTGACAAAACCTATGTCACAGGCCGTCTCTTTCCCAACAATAAAAACGTATATGCCAGACAACAACAGACTATAACCTCGACCACGGTAGACTAGGATAGATTACCAACAGAAATAATAAGCAGGTCGATGGCTTTCACAGAATATTCAATGCAGCATGGGTACAACAAACGGCCGACCGTTGATTGGCAACATGCAATAGTTATACCATTGTGGAAGAACAAAGGAAGCAAACGAGAATGCGGTCAATATCGAGGCATCTCTCTTTTAAGCTATGTTTGGCAAAATGTATGCCAAGATAATAGAAACAAGACTGAGACAGTGATAGAACCACAGCTGGCAGAAGAACAGATGGGATTTAGGAGAAATAGAAGCTGCACCAGATGATCTTCACATAAACATTAATAGAAAAGAACATTTACAATAAGAACTTATTTGTGGCATTCGTAGACCAGGAAAGGCATTTGACAGAGTCGACAGACAATTATTATGGAGGTTTAGTTGGCAAGATATGGAGTAAGCGAACACTTCATCGAAGTCTGCAAAAGTTTATACAGGGATTGTAGAAGTGTAGTTAGAATAAATCAGGGAACATTCATATTTTCACAGTGACATTGGACAACAGGGGTGTGTCAACCGCTGTTTTATCACCTTCGACAGTATATGCAAGAATGCCAAACTGAAGATCTTAGTAAGATCAACGAATTTAGTCTTTGCAGATGACCAGGCCTTGATAGCAGATACAGCCATGAAATTGCAACAACATCTTTCCATGAATGTGAATGTTTTAATAATATGGAATCAACACTGAAAAGACAGAAGTATTTGTCAATAGGAAAAAAATTTCTAAACATAACAATAGAATACAAAGGCATTAAACAGGCAGCTGAGTTTAAATTCTGGGAACTACATTTACCGAAGATGGGAAATTGGATAAAGAAATGACATTAGATGCAGTAAAGCAAACCAAGTATTGGGACAGCTAGCCCCCTCTTACAGCTAAGACAATCCCAATCAGCACAAGAGACATCTTATTCAAAGCATATTTATTCCAACTCTGTGCTACCAGTGCCAGCCATGGTCACTCACAACAAACCATGAAAATTATAACCACGGAAATGAGATGTCTGAGAAGCTGTAGGAGTGACCATAAGAGATAAGATCAGAAATGAGATCATAAGTTTACAAGTCGGCCAGAACCAATTCTGGATTACATACAAAGACAGCAAGTGAAATGGTTTGCCCACTTAGAGAGATGCCTTGTGACACCACACCATACAAAGCATACATGGGAAGAGAAGAAGGGACTAGAGCACGGGGTAGACCAAGAACAAATAGGATTTCAGAGAGAACTCTCAAAACCCATACGATGTGCCTAATGGTCGAGGCAAGGAGCTGAAACAGGACCTTATATCTCCCTCGACACCCACAGCGGTAAAAGAGGAAGTGAAGAAGATGTGCAATTGGGGAGACAAGCGTAAAATTCACCAGCTCGAGAATAGAACATGTATATAGGTATAAATACATATATATATACAGAGACGGCACCGCTTTGGAAGCACTATTTACTTTAGAATACCCTTCACCACAGACACCATCTATTTCATTGTAAGAGGTTTATTTGCAATTTATGTTGAAACCTGTTAACAATTATTGTTAGAGGTTTATTGGCAATTTGTGTTAAAATCTGTTGGCAGTGTATGAGAGATGCATTGGCAGTTTATGTTAAAATCTATTAGCAAAGAAACACTGTAAAATGAGTACAACGATGGCAATACAGCTCCTTACCAGTATAGTAAATAATGTTGAATATTGCTATGTTTGTGACATTCAGAGCAAGCATTTTTTGTTAAAGTGATTTTTTAAAAAGGCGCGAAGCTGAAGTTTTTGTAATTTTCTATTGCAATAAGTTATTTTTGTCAATTAAATTATTCCCCCATTTTTCTTTTACCTTTTCAGGCTTAATGGGCATAAAAGGCTAGGCTGATCTTTTATAGACCAATGGACACTGGGTGGATGATGTGGTCAGCATCATACTGGGCGATTTTACTTTCCCGGACTGCACATCGTACCCACTCAAGGCTTGGTCGACCTGAGAGCCAAAGCCATTTTAAAATAAAGTCCGGCTCTATCAGGACCCGAACCCACTACCTTCCGATCCGCATGCGAGCGTTTAACCGCAACACCACGACAGCTCTCTTCCTCAAACGCCATCCTTCGGGAATCCAAGAAGTAAAAGAAACATCCTCATCATCAAGTAGTAGGTCCTTTGCAGAACGTTGCTCTCATCACGGTCTGCCTGGAAAGAAACTCGGTCTCTGCCTCTTTTAAGATGTACTTTCATTTTCACTTTTCCAGTTCGTCCCCTGCCCCTTCTTCCTGGTACCATGCTTCGATCATATGAGTTCGCCGTGGCGCTTGATATGACCAAAATACTATAGCTTCCGAGACAGGATGCAGTTTATTAGCCAATCTTCTTCGATGTTCAGATCTTTTAAGATGTCTGTATTTCTCCTCTTCTTTGTCCAAGATATTCTGAGAATCTTTCTATAGCATTTCAGCTCAAAAGCCCATATTTTCTTTCTTAAGGACTGGGAGATAGCCCCTGACATATCTGTATGTTGCTACAGAAACACATCTACAAAATATAATTGTGTGAATAGCAACGTTTGCCCTCTGCTAGAAGATGGCAACTCTCGCCGCTGTGTTTGGTGCTGCTACGGTAAATTCTAGTTTTTTAGTGCTAAGCTTTTCGCCAACGACATGTTATTATTAACCCTTTTAGCACGGGAAGTTTTTCAGAGGTCTAGCCAAAAACACGGAGCATTTTTTCAGTGAATTTGGTTATTACTTTATTTAATTTTTTTGACAGATTTCTGTTATTCTGACCCCCATGAAATAATAATATATCTATTTGAAGGATATAGATTAAAGTTCATGATTTTCACAATATCTTTAAAATTAATTGATGTAAATACAAATTATCTCATTTGGATATCTAAAAATAGAAAATTGAAATTTGAATTTTCAACTTCAATGCTTGAAACATAAAACTAAAAACAAAAATTTTTTTAATTTGAAATCTTTTTATTGATCTTTGGCCTTTTCGCAAATGTTGTAAGCAATTCAATAGTGCAAAAACAGGTATATATATAATATGAAACAGCAATAATATCTTTAGGTTGTGTTTTTCACCATCAGTCAGCACAAGAACTGGATGTGCCGGAGCAAAGGATATACTCTGAGCCATGGTTGGGCTGTGACTGAACACAACAGCGTCCCCATCTGATTCCCACTATTAAACTAACACTAAATCCTTTTCAGTATCAACAGAATTAGTGTCATCACTTGATTCAAATATTTTATCAACATCAAGTTTAGGGGCAGAAACATACGAGTCAGACATACTGAGGGTAGGGTTAGGGTTAGCGTTTAGGGGTTAAGGTTTAGGTTTAGGGTTCGGGGTTAGGGTTAGGTGTAGCGTTAGATGTGACAATTGTGACGCCGTAGTTCACTACAATCGCGCACAGTCGCATGCACGCGCAAACAGTCGACGGACGGTGGATGCTACTGACACGGACAATTCGCCACCGATTGGGCACCAGCCGCGCGCTATTGCCGTCATATTTTTCACACTTCCAGTGGCGCCACTCCCACAAGCATCAGATTGTAGGCCAGTATTTCCACCTCCTACGTGAATATTTTCACATCATCTAACCCTAACCCTACCCCTAACCCTAACCCTACCCCCTAACCCTCCCCCTAACCCTAACCCTAACCCTCCCCCTAACCCTAACCCTACCCCTAACCCTAACCCTAACCCTACCGCTAACCTAAACCTTACGCAACCCTATACGCAACCGTATGATGATGATGATAGACACCCTACGCATCCCTACACGCAACCGTATGATGATGATAGACACCCTACGCAGCCCTACGCGCAACCGTATGATGATAGGTAACCCTAGACGCAACCCTACGCAGCCCTACACGCACCCGGATGATGATAGGTAAGTATGTCATTTGATTCGTGACTTTTTCCGCGACTTGTATTGAGTTTGGCGAAGGGACATAACTCCCACTAAGTCCCGCTAAGCCGGCTGAAGCAGTCCAGCTTACCGGCCAAATTTGCCAGTAGAGCCACAAAATTCAACAGCAATTTTCACTTCGATACCAAACACTAGAAAGTCGCCATGTGTAAAGCTGATACAGCAGTTAATATAAATGAATCACTTTCAGTGTTTCAAAATAGGAGATTTCTTAGCGGTTCGAGGCGAAACACGATCGGGCCGATGATCGGCCGTTCCGTGTTTTTGGCCAGACATCCGCCGGCCGATAATCGGCCCGTCCGTGCTAAGAGGGTTAATATACTTTACGTTCGCATTTTATATTTTTTTCAGAAACACTCAAAATGCATGGGTTATTGCTCTCGGCTCATCAACACGACATTTTCGCGGGGAGCGCACCAGGTAAACAAAAGCATTATTTAACACTATATTTGATCAATGATTTCCATTTCATTGACATTATTCTGGCAGCAGACGGCTCAAGAGTTACAGGCAAAAGATGAAAAAGTGACTGGCTGATGTAGAAAAAGGCGGCTGGGCTATCCTCCGAATAACGGGCACAAATTATGGCGGCCGCAAAAACACCCTAACAGGGCCTCAGCCTCAGTCACATGTCAATCGTCACTTTCGGCGACCTAATTTGCTCACTTCGCGCATGGATTGGGGCTAAACTAGATGGCTGGGATTCACGAGCAGCAGCTTTCGCATCTCCTGCGGCTTTTCTCATGAGTCCCAGCCATCTAGGTAGTTGCCAGAAGTCCGAAAATTAGGTTGCTGGAAGTTCACAATTTACATGTGACCAAGGCCCTGTTTTTGGCCGCCATAATATGTGTTGTTATTCGGAGGATAGCCGGCGGCTGTTTTGTGTGGTGCTGTCTAGACAAAAGGAGTGCTAGAGCTGATGTCCCAAGCCTCTCAATGACAGAACTGAAAAACTAAAAGACAAAGCAAATGGAGGTACCTGGAGATCACTTTCAATAAAAGCCCCTTCTTCATTGACCATATAGAGGCGATTGCAGCAAATTACAAAAGGGACTCAATGCACTCCATTTAATGGCAGTAATAGACATGGAACAAAGAATGCTGTTCACAATGTATCAGTGACTGTCAGCACTAGATCATCTCAGTGATGGATATGGACTTGGAATGCCCACCATACCAAAGAGTCAGTAGACAAAACCTGAACACATACAGAATGAAACCATGAAGATGATTCTAGCATATGCAAAAAAATACCTCACTAGTATGTATGTGATATGTGACTGTGGTACCTGGAAATCACCTTTGACTGAAGTTTGTCTTTCAGGGATCATATAGAGGGCGTTGTGACAAGGGCTCAAAAAGGTCTAAACGCACTAAAGCATTTATTATGACAGCGATGGACCTGGAACAGAGAATGCTGTTCACACTTTACCAGCACTTAATCATCTCAGTGATTGATTATGGATTGGAGTTACTCACTGTCTTAAAGAGTCAGCTAGAGAAACTAGAGCGCATACAGAATAAAGCTATGCGGCTGATCCTGGGTTGTACAAGAGACACCCCAATTGTGTGCATGCGATACATCCTTGCATTGTCGACTATTGCAGATAGGCTAAAGGTGCTTCAAGCTAAGTCATACGTCAGAGTAGCCGCAGACAGGGAACACCCTCTGTATGAAGCTTTGGCTGCAGACAAAGGTCAGAGGCTGAAAAGGGGAAAATCGTAGATGGCTCAGGCAGAAGACACAATAAGAAAAGTATGCATGCTGGAGAACATTAGGCAAGGAGAGGAGTGGGTCAGAGAACCAGTGAAAAAGTCTGACCTGTGTAGGGTTATGATCACAATGGGCCGAGTGTGCAGAGAGTGGCCAGCGGGTGCTACAGAGGTTGAAGTCTAACAGTTTATTCATGACAATTCACGCCCAGGTGATCTGATTATCTATACAGATGGTTCATGGTTGAGAGGAAAGAGAAGTGCCTGGGGGTTCGTAGCGAAAGCCAATGGAAAATCTTTAGTGCAAGACAGCCTAGCATATGACACCACAACATCTAGCATGAGAATGGAGGTTAAGGCGGTAACTGCAGATCTCCGGTGGCTGGAGAACAAGATGCATAGCCATACGCATGTCGTGATTGTAACACTCTGAAAGCATGCTGAAAAAGGTGAAGACAGGGATGCTTCGAGCAGAGTGGCTAGCTTCACTGGAAAGGTCACGGTGGTGAGCATACTTTGAATCTTTTCTCCAGGCTATGCCAGCATGGTGGGTAATGAACAGGCAGACAGATTCGCTGGATCCGCACCACTAGGTGGTGAAGTGTACATGACAAGGCAGATGCGGTGAAGGCCCTTTGGGAACAAGCAACGGAATAATTAGAGAACGAAGATTATTATGGCCTGGAGAGAATGAGGCCCCTGGGTGTAACCAGAGGATCTGGCCGGCTCACTACACTCAGAGAAAAAGCAAGACGAACTTTTAACCAGATTGTGACCGGTACCATCAGTATTGGAACTCTGCGCTGGCTGCTGAAAATGAGGAAGGAGCATGCATGGGAATGGTCTGAGTGCTGTCATGTCAATTCTTGACTTAACTTAACTCAGCTCAACATGTATGTGATATAAACTTACATTGCTGACTGTCAGCACTAGATCATCTCAGTGATGGATATGGACTTGGAATGCCCACCATACCAAAGAGTCAGCAGACAAAACCTGAACACATACAGAATGAAACCATGAGGATGATTCTAGCATATGCAAAAAAATACCTGTTGCTGCAAACAATCTCATTCCCAGATTATCTCCTACAGCAAGATTTGATACATGTGTAGGGTTATAATCACATTGGGTCAATATGAACGGGATATTTAACAACTGGTTCTGTGCAGGTGATATGATTATTTATACAGATGGCTCTGTCTTGAATGGCTGAAGTTCATACAGGTTCATAGCAAAAGTGAATGGACTACCCTTAATGCAACAAGCCTGGCATATGATACCACATATCGTTTGAGGATGGAGGTAGAGGCAGTCACTGGAGGTAGAGGCAGTCACTGCAGGCTTCAACTGACTCAAGACCCAGCTGCACACACATCATGATTGTAACATCCTCACAAAGCATGCTCAGAAAGGGGAGACATTCATAATTTATGCAGAGTGGCAAGCATGGCTTCAGAAGTCCTGGTAGTTAGCATCCTGTGGATATTTTCTCTAGGGTTTATATGTGTTGAGAAAGCATGTTGAAAAAAGGGAAGACAGATATGCTTCATGCAGAATGGTAAGCATTGCTTCGGAAGTTCCGGTAGTTAGTATCCTGTGGATATTTTCTCTAGGGTTTATGTGTTTTGGGAAACAAACAGGCAGACAGAGGCTGGTTCTGCACCACTTAGTGGTGAATTAATGTGTGACAAGCTAGATTTGATCAAGGCTCTTTGAGAGCAAGTGAACAGTTTAGAAGCACAAATAGATCATCAAAATTTTAGAATGGTACAGCAGGGAGTTTTCAGTGGATCTGGCTGACAGTCAGCACTCAGAGGAAAGCAAAACAAACATACAGTCAGACTAGTACTGGTACTAGCAGAATTGAAACTTTGTCCTGGTTGCTGAAGATGGGGACAGAGCACTCATGGGTTTGTCTCGAGTGCTTCGATGTTCGTATAAGTGTCAGTATCTTCAGTATCTCACACGAGTTTTCATACTGATGATATCAGTTGCAACATGACTATGCCTGTCTTTTCCCCTTGACACTGAATTTGTGCAGACCCTTTTCTAAATAATATATACTATTTGAAATAATGAATACATTAAATTAAGTTTTGTTTTTGAAGATAGGAGTCAGTGGGTCTTCTTGTTTCATCAAAGGATGTAATTGTAATGTGTCCATTTACAGCATGACTGACATATTTGAGCCATTCAGCTGACACATTCAGCTTCTTCAGGCACAAGTAGCCTTCCCTTGAATCTCAGTTTTTTTTTTTTTAGTAACTGTTTTCTCTAACTGATTAAGGATCAAATATGTTCATTAAAAGAAATAGTGATGAAATTGCAAAGATCTATCTAAACTGTACTGCATTTTAAAATAACCAAAATTGAATGGTTCTCAAGTTTATTCAACACCAGATCATTGAATATTGCAAGAATAAATATTACATAATTAGATGTTTAAAAAAAAATAACTAGGAAAATTCCATTTTATTTTTCAGTTGACAGTTCGTGATGCCTTAAATTCTGCTTTAGATGAGGAATTAGAGCGAGATAACACTGTGTTCATTCTCGGAGAGGAAGTGGCACAGTATGATGGTGCTTATAAGGTACATGTACATCATTTCATTATTTGTTTTGTGTTTTGTTTCTTGTTATTTGCTGATGAAGGCTTGTTGCTGCAGTGTCTGTTATTGATTGCAATTCTGTTCTGTAAAAATTTTGTTTGTCTTTTTTTTTTAAATAAGCATCTTTTACTGCAGTCAGCAAATGTCATTATATGCTATACTGGTGGATGCTGGATTGTTACTTGAAGTTTAGACATTAGCATCTATTTGTTTGAGTTGGGTTTTGGAGCTCAGACTATGTAAAAGTCCTCTTATTGAAACTGTTTGTAAACTGCTATTTTTTTTATTTTTTTTTTACGTATCCAGAAACCATGAGTTGTAAACCCTTTGGCTCGGTACTATGGATATCTCAACCCTTCGGCATTGATTCCATTATAGGTACCGTTAATCTGGGAGAAATGTGGCTTTTCTGCCTACCCCCGGGAGTGAACCCGGACCACAAGGAGTTCGTCACCCGGCCGCCGCGAAAGTCAGGTTTAACCAACTTCGCTAGAGAGCCGGGCATAAACTGCTATAAACTGTTTGAGATGTTTGATGTCCAAGCGATTAATAAGTTGGTCTGTCAGTTCTGGGGACATCAGCTCTTTCTTATTTTTTATAAGACAGGATGTTTATCTGTCAGAAGTAAAATTTAAAAAAACTTTGTTGACTGAATCAAACTGTGGTAGTGTAATATTCAGGAGCCCTCTGTCACAAATATCTTGAGTTCACTTATCAATGGTGGAGGGGTTGACTTTTATTCCTGCCATTATGACTTGAGTCCAACCTAAAAACTTGCTAAGATGTGTGATTGGATAATTTCTCCTTCTGCATTCCCCCTTACAAGGGCAGTTGACATGTTATATTGCGGTTTATAGCTAGGCTGCTATATCTGCACCTTTCGTCCCAACACATTTCAGCAAGTCCTTAATTAGCCTCCTTTTACAACATGCTTTTTAGAGAGCAGTAGTCCTGTTCCTTTTCCCCAAAAAAGTTGAACCCTCAACCCACATGGGGAAAGTTGGACTAGTAAAAACAACTGACTTAATCCCTACTTGATTGTTGATTCTCATTTTATTTCAGGTCACCAGAGGGCTATGGAAAAAATTTGGAGACAAACGAGTTATGGACACCCCTATAACAGAGGTAAGTATGTAATGCTTGCAAGTGGGAGATTGTGTTGTCATTACCACTCTTCCATGTTTCTGTCTTCTAGTGGAGAGGTACTTGCATGTCTCAGAGATCCCAAGAGCTTTTACATTAGTGACATAGCATGGCAAGCTAGATGTGATCAGGGCCCTTTGGAAGCAAATAAGTAAGGCTGAAGCCTATATAAATAATTGGGGACTGAAGGTAATTGTGCAGCCAGGAGTGACCAGGGAATCTGGTTGACACTCTGCATTAAGAGGAAAAGCAGGAAATGACATATTATCAAACTGCTACTGGCACCATTGGAATTGGAACTCTTTGCTCTTTAGCCGAACGGTTACAGTACTGGACTCTCAGCTTGGAGACCCGGGTTCGAATCCTGCGTGAGGCTGGGGATTATTTCCATCGGGGGCAAAATAAAATCCTCACCTGCACAGTCCTGGCGACAGCACTAGCCATGCGGCGGTAAATCCTCAGGCCCTGCATACACCGCAAAAGTGGTAAAATAAAGGCAGCAATTGGCAGTTTTGTGAATCCAACAGAAGAAAATCCTAGAGGCCCCATTCCCCATATTGAAACAAATCAAAACAATGTTTCGCCATTGTAAATTTGAACAGAGAAGTCACAGACAATAGATTACACAATTTTATACCTGCCATATTTTGCTTTATCTTGTCATGTGCAGACTACAGGGGTCAGTTAAATAAAATGAAACAAATAAGTAAATCCTTTACAGTTGAAGTACAATTTCAACCACTTACAAAAGCAGCTGCCTGTTTAATCAGGTCACTTGCAGGGTCACTGTCATGTCTTTCTGTTTACAAAGTTCTGGACAGGGGTAACAAATAGTGGCAGTTTCAAGAAATCTAAAATCTGCCATTGGACGGCATATGAAGAATTTGAAATAATATGTAGGGAGATATTTTGTTGGGGGTACTCATGGAGGACATATGTTATTTAGACATATTCCACCACATAGTTATGATTTATGTTTTTTGTTTGTTCTGTTGCAGATGGGTTTTGCTGGTATTGCTGTTGGTGCAGCTATGGTAAGAAGCATTTTTTGATTTAGGTTAGAGAGACGGTTATTTTATTAAAATTTTGCCTTGTCTGTTCATCTTTATTACTTCCAGTTATTTCTATAAAGTACAGCAAATATAAGATGGAATTCAGACTCTCCAGCCATCTGGAGTTTCTGTCCCAAGCAATTGCTCTTAAAAATTATGCAGCCACTGTAAGATAGATTTAAAGCTGTCTGGAACAGGTAAGTTTTTTTGTCAAGCACCGCCAGTATACGACAGAGTTAAAGATGAAACAGTGTCAGCAACTAATTCTGGGTCATAACATGATATTCGTTCGGTTTTATATCCTTTCTCAACATGATAGGGTAGGATGATCAACTTCCCATCGTATATTTCCTTCCTATTGTATTCATAAAATGATCTATTACTCATTTCAGAGGGTTATTAGACCTCACAAGCTCTACTGGGCATACGCAAATCCAACCCTGCTTCTGCCAGAGATTAATTTCTTGGTCAATTGCTTTAGTGTACTAGCCAATGTGTTATACAGTTCTGAGCTGACAGTAAGGGGGAAGCTGCTACATTATCTATATGCCAGTAGGTTTTTGGAAAAGGGGCTTGTTTGGAAACTTCACACCAGTTTTCAGAGTTAATAACCTAACAGGACGAGTATCTTGATTTTCAGTTGTTCATCTTGCTAAAGGAAACTACTGGTGTAGAATGGCCAGTACTTCTTGTCTGCCAACCAAGTGGTTATAAGTTTAAATACCTTCAACATTTATTTTCAAATAGCCTGGCTCACAAGTCAATCGTATTAAAATGTATGCTTCTCCCTTTGTGAAGCCCAGAACTCATACAGGAAGGGGTGACACCGTATGTCCAGTACACTGCAAGGCATGGTAGTGAGACCTTTACTTAGGTTTTTAATGTTGTTATACAGTTTGTTCTTTTATCCGTAGAACCATCTGAAGTGCTGTACTCTTTTCCACAGGCTGGACTTCGACCTGTGTGTGAGTTCATGACCTACAACTTTTCCATGCAGGCCATCGATCATGTAATTAACTCAGCTGCCAAAACATACTACATGTCTGATGGCAAGGTGCAGTTCACAATTTGTTCATGTTGTATATGATTTCTTAAGAAAGCATACTTTCAGGACATATTTTGATGGTTCTCAGTTTGCTTCAGACTTTGTCTGTTATGGTCCTAAAAAGTCAAGATAGGGATGCTCATCTAAATGCAAGGAACAAATCTTGCCAAGCACACAAATTCAGGTGTAGTCTTCTTCTTTTTCTCCTTTGTTTACCATTTTCCCCATGTGGGTTCTGGGGCCCCATACTGGGGAAAACAAGAATAAACCCACTGCCTCCCCAGCTAGCATGTAGTAGTAGTTGACTAACTGGGGACTTCTTTCAAAGTCGGAGTAGATCTGCCCGAATGGCAAGGAACAACCAACTGCACACAAATAAGTCAGTAAAACGGATGTACATGCAAAACTCAGGCCCTGGCACAAAGCCAAAGTCCAAATGGACGAACAACAGGACTTTCCGCTGGAGCTTACAGCCATTGAACAAAGAAGAAGTAGAAGTTTATCATTTCAAGGCCAGTTAGCACATTGTTTTGTGGTTTACAGGTAGGCTGTGAAATCTGTACCAACACATTCGATTTCATCAAAACCCCTGTTTATTGGCCTTTTATGATGTGCTTGTTGGGAGGGGGCAGGGGGTCTTCCCCCCCCCCCCCCCACACCTATTTGGGAGAACAGCAGTTTCAGAGAGCATGCACCCGGGGTGAGACAGAGCATGTGGGAGATCCATAGCAGCTAACTTTCATTGTGAAGACAGCACCTGATTCCTGATTGAATTGAAGACAAGAGTCACTGTAACACTTTCCTGGCTATCATTGTCTGATTCTCATTTCATGTATTAGAAGGTCCACCATGAGTGACTCAAATCTTTGGTTATCTGTTGACCATAACAACCAGGGATAGTAGAGGAACATTGAAAAATGGTATGCTTTTGAAACAGTCAGCGTGGCACGGTGATTTATGTCACAGGCATGAGGGAAAGTTAAGTCCAACATGATGTGTATAAGGAGATACTCCGTACGTCACTCGGGCACCAGTCCTTCACTGTTCTGGTTTTACGAACCTCACGCAAGACCCCTGCAGCACGTCCTTGTTGTGCGCCACGGATAATGTCTCAAATGAGCATTAACAGAGCTGTCAACGGATCTCGGAGTTGGCGGCCCCCAGAGGTGGTGTGTCCTTGTGGCTCTCATCAGCCCGCCCCCAAACGCATGGGTGAAAAAGGTTATCAAAACTCATTAGGAACATGAGTAAAGTGCTTGCCAAACGTACAGCTAAAATCACAACCCTTTGTTAAAAGATTGCGGAGTGAAGAGAACATTGTTCTGCTGAGACTCAACCCTTGACCTTGAGATTTACCCGCAGCACAGACGAGTAACATCTCGTGTTGGTGGCGTCTCGCAGCAAGACTCTACCCATGTACATCCTCTGTTAACCCTCAGTGTCGTCGTCACCGCGCTAAGGTACACCACAACAGCAACAGCCCATTGGATGGCTAAGCCTAAATGTCCGACAAAACTGGATCCTACGGCACACAAGTAAGTTCAAAATCCGACCATCACAAATTGTATTGAATGGAAAAAGTCCAAATGTCCACACCCAAAGACCCCACTTGCCCGAGTGTTGGGACCAAACTGATAACCATATGCCTGACGCAGGATGTTAAATTCTGTCAGGCTAACGGCTCGTCAAAGAAATCTAACGTGCGAAGAAAAAGAATGTACCTATTCGTGTGGTCACAAAAGTTCAGAACCCGCGGGCTGCTCCCCGTTGACCTCCAGAGGGCACAGCCCTTGTCGAGCGAGAGGCCTAATATGGTTGTGAGGTTAAGCAGGCATGTGCAGGACGTGACGATTCCTTGGGTGAGCCCAGAACCAGAGCGCCATGTGCTGGCTCTGCATACATGGAAGCCTCCTTGGATGGCGGGGAATGCCCATGATCTACCCCTGCCTTCCCTTGAGGGCCAACAGTTCCACAAGGGACTGCCCCAAAGGGGTACTCCGGGGGCAAAACCTGCGGAGAAGGCGACAAAGAGGACACCACACAAATCAGGCAACGTTTGACCCACACAAAACAATGGCCACAGTCATCCTAGAAATAGGCTTGACGTCTTCCCTCGAAGTCGAAGTACATCTGCCCATGAGGCAGGGAACACAAAACGGTTGTACACGCAAAACTCAGGTTCAGGTAAAAGCCAAAAGTCTAAGCGGACGATTAACCGGGACCTTCCGCCGGAATTCACAGCCGGTGAACGAAGAAGAAGAAGAAGAAGAAACAGTCAGCATCACCTTCATTATGATATCTGTTGAAAAAAAGACAAGAGTACATGTGTATGAGTAACAAGAACAGTGACGTTGATCAGTCAAACTCAAACCCTGGAATAAGATCAAAGTTCAGATGTAAACAGCTAGACTTTCTGCCAGAGTTGACAGACAGTGAACGTAAAGAAGGAGAAGAGTCAGTTAATAAATATGCTATTTATTATTTTTAAGTTACAGATCAGATTTGTTTTATTAAATATATATATGTGTGTGTCAAATGTATATATATATATTTCCCTTGTTTTCCTTGTCTTTTATTGGTAATTCTACTGACTCCCCTCAGCTAGCTAGAGTATATTTAAATGCACACATAAGCCTTGATTTACCAGAGCCTGTCAGGTGATCAGGTAATCGTAGCTCCGACTTCAGACATCTCGCCCCATAGTTGCTCCGTTCCTGTGCTAATGAAAACAACAGAGAATGTCCATAGAAAAATTGATACAGACTGCAGTCTTAGCACATCCAACAACATACGTGTGCATTAAATGCATAAGGTATCCGTCAGAAGTGCTAGCACAAACAACCTGACACTAAAAATGCTGGTCATCCTCAGTGGAAGCAACAGTTACAATAGATCAGTAGTTGCACCTAGTTGCATAAGGCACCACTAGTTCATCCCATAGCTGCACAATGCAACCAGTCTTAAAAAAAGTTGAAGGTTTAAGTGAAGAGAATCAACTTTATTGCAGCGGGTTTTATCTTATTTGGCTCCTTCACTTTCTGCAGAATGGCTAGCTGCCTGCCAAGAGCATTGCACAAAGCATGAACTGCATAGCTCCAGTGACAATCTCAAGGAATCTGTAAAACGCACTTGTGAACTGAATGACACAGCCGTAAAACAAACCCATAACCTTTACACTATGAGGCATACAGCTTGACCAATTTCCCACAGAGACCCCAACTAATCTTAAATGTCAGCAGAGGGCTTGACATGAACTATTGAGCATCTGTTGTGTACCAGAAGATGAAAGGAAGAAAAAGTTTGATGTACGTTTTCTGCTTTGACACCCACTTTAGACTTTCCAAATTCATTATAGGTAACGGTGCCTATTGTATTTCGTGGACCTAATGGTTCTTCAGCGGGGGTAGGTGCTCAGCATTCACAGTGCTTCGGTGCCTGGTACAGCCAGGTACCTGGCTTGAAGGTCATCTCACCCTACTCTGCCGAAGACAACAAAGGGTTGCTGAAATCTGCCATCAGAGACTCTGACCCAGGTAATTATTGTGTAACTTTTCCAGTGTTTGCAGTGGGGCCCCATTTGGGTGGGCGGAGGGGAGAATAGACTGACTGCTCCCCTAACAAGCATGTTGTAAAAGTTGACTAATTAGGGCTGTTTCCTTCGAAGTCACAGCGTATCTGCCTGAGAGTCCATGAACCATCACTGTGCTTACAAATAAACCAGATGTGTCAAATGAATGTGCATGTGAAACTGAGGTTTTGGCACAAGACCAAGCTCCAGAAGTGGATGAACAACCAGGGTTTTCTGACTGAGTTTACAACTGATGAATGTGAAGAAGAAGAAGAAGAAGAAGAAGAAGCTTTTGCATATTTGAAGTTCCAATGCCAGATTTGCACATCCTGCTGGTTTCTGGATTTGGAAAAGGGAAGGAGAGCTGCACGATGATAAGTTGGTATTGGGTCAGTGGACAGTCTTTACACTAACATTACTCTGATAGAGAACAAGATCACCTCTCCCCCCAGGGTCCACAAAACAGGCTTAACGGAATACGTAACGTTACTCTGCCTATATACACACTAGATCACTTCTGATTGGTAGGTCCTGAGCGTCATGACCTTCGCACAAAGTTAGAGGGGTGTTCCGCGATACTGTTGATATCACGTGTTGTATATTTCAGCACGGCAATGCTTTTAACTCTCCAAAAACATGGAGCAACTGGCCCTAATACAGTCCCCCTAGAGAGTGCTGAAACCTATGTCACAGGCATTCTCTTTCTCGGAGTGAAAACGTATGTTTACAACGACAGCATTTTACAACAACAAAATTCTTTATCTACCATGGTTTTGCAGACAGAAGAGCAGTAAATATCCAAATTTGAGATTAACACTTTAAAGTTTGTTCAGTTTCCTAGTAAATTCAAAAGTTATGATTCGATCTGGGTTAGTTTCTCACTCAGAGGCTCTAGGTTCTCATAGAGTGCTGAACAAAATTTCAAAGAAAAAACTAGCTGAAAATTTGACCTATACACATAAAATATACAAACTGTTGCTGCAGTGATTTCAATGGTTAAATGTCCGTCTTGCCTTTCCTCTAGCATCTGCCAGAACCCCACTCCATGCTGCATCAATATCACCAGACTGGTGATCTAGCTGCTCCTCCGAACTGTACACGCTCTCCCACAAGGCACTAACCAACTTTTTTCTTATCATGCATCAGTATTCCACCAAGTTGTGCAGATCCAGCCAGTCTGTCCGCATTTTTATTTCCCAACACACCGGTAGGGATAAAATCCAGACAATACTCCTCACCCGTGTCCTCCACAGTGAAGCATGCCACTCTGCACGAAACATGCCTGTCCTGACCTTCCTCAACATGCTTTTTGAGTCAGTTACAATCACGATGTGTGTGTGTGTTGTGTTCTCTAACCAGCGGTAAGCTGCAGTGACCGCCTCCACCTCCGTTCTTAAGCTGAATGTTGTGATATCATATGATAGGCTCTCCTGCACCAAACGTCGACCATTAACTTTTGCAAAGAAACCCCAAGCACTTCTTTTGCCTCTTGACACTGAACCGTCTGTGTACATAATCAAATCCTCTGAGGGAGCCTTATCTTGAATTAACTGCTGAATTTCCACCTCCGTGGCACCTGCTGGCCATTCTCTGCATTCCCGGCTCAATGTGATTATGACCGTACACAAGTCTGACTGTTCAGGTGGCACCTTAACCCACTCCTTTCCTAGCCCAATGTTCACAGCCATCTAAAGGGATTATTTCATCATCATCCTTTCATTATGACTCTGACCATAAATTAACCTCATTAATGTATTACAAGATTTCTGCATATTATAAAAGCATTTGTGGTAATAGTGAACTAATCACAGTCAAAATGGGTCTAAAACCATATCCTATGAATGTTTTTCTAGCCTAGGCTTCTCTGCTCTCACATACTCTTTTGGAAAAGCATAAACAGCTAAGCTATATCTTCCCGCCTGTTCCCACTTATACTTGATTTGAACAAAAGCTCTTAATCTACGGAGATATAGTTATATAGAAGAATCTGTTGTAATTAACTGAAATAAATACATGCAAATATAGACATTTTGAGAAATATTAAATGAAAAGTGTTGTTTTAAGAAATAAAAAAGAGACAAAGAACAAACAAACTTTATTTTCAGACAGTAAAGAATTGGGTATGCAGGCCTGTCCAACATTCTACCCTTCCAGTTTTGCTCCTATCCTTGCACACAGTTCTTCATTCATACATGAAATCTTTTGAGCACATAAAATGACAGCAACCTTATGAAAATCATACAGAAATTAAAACTTGTAGGCTAGGAACAAAGGATAAACTTTAATATAAGTGGAGGGATAACATCAAGAGAGAGAGAGAGAGAGAGTGAGTGCACAAACAAAGGAAAGAGACAGTGTGTTGTGGGTCCATTGCAGCAAACCTTCGTTGTGAGATTGCGCCTGATTGATTGATAATTTTTCATCTGTGATAGATAATTTTTCATCTGTGATTGATTTCTCATCTGTGATGGATGATTTTTCATCTATGATTGACAATTTTTCATCTGTGATTGATAATTTTTTATCTATGATTGGCAATTTTTCATCTGTGATTGATAATTTTTTATCTCTGATTGATATTTTTTCATCTGTGATTGATCATTTTCCATCTGTGACACACATTTTTTAAATTTTCTGCATAGTTTTGATTATTTGGTAGTTTTTGTGTAAACAAATATTTATCTTTATTCAACAGTTGTGTTTTTAGAGCATGAACTTATGTACGGAGTGAGTTTTGACGTTGGCGAAGAAGTCTTGTCTAAAGATTTTCTTGTACCTATTGGAAAATGTAAAATTGAAAGACCAGGTAAAAATATGTTTTGTTTTGTTTGTTTATTTTGTTTGCACAATTAATTGATTATCTTTACTTTTTTATTTTTGTTATACTTACTTACTTACTTAATCGCTCCTCTTCTACCTTGGAGTTTAGAGGTTTGCCAGAGAGATTGCCAGACATCTCTATCAGCTTTCTGGCTTTGTTCCATTCCAGTCCTCTGTCAGTTAGGGACTGTTGGATGTTGTCTTTCCAGCGCACCCTGGAGGTCTAGTTTCCTGGTTCTTAGCCTCCCATGCCTGCCTTGGTGACCGATTTTTGCCCATTCTGCATACATGTCCAAACCATCGTAACTGTGACTGAACCACTCGGGTTTGTAAGGACTGGCTATCAAGATCTTGACGTATTGTCTGATTGCGGACTTTGTTCCTTCTTGTCACTTGGACCACCTTTCTCAGATACCTCATTTTCTGAGGCCTGGAGCTGGCTTCTGTGAGCTGTTGTCATTGCCCGTGACTTACAGCCATAGGTCAGAACTGGTGCATAGTTAGAGCGGTAAACAGCCATTTTCGTCCTCTTGCCAGTTTCTCTTTTGCTAAGAAAACCTCGGTTTATGGCCTGGAAGAGTCTCCCAGCAGCTGCTTTTTGAGTAGCCAGCTTAGTCTTAATGCCTCCATTTTGGTCTAATAGAACTTCAAGGTATTTTGGTTGGTTGACCTGCTCCAAGGCATATTGTCCCATCATGATCTGGTGTTTCTTCTCTATTTCTGTTATATATAAATATAAACTTTATTTTAATCGGTCATTTCATTTACGTTTTGCTATTTCTGTCTTAAGAGATTATTGACAGTTAAAGAAGAATAAATAAGAACATATACTAGTGGATGTTTCCACACATGCACATATATACACATGCAAGGTATTAAATTATCTGAGCACACACATATAACTATACTGATGATAATTAGCGACATTATTTACTTTTTCTTTGTATTTTAAAAACATAGATATTATAGTTTTCTACAAAAGATCATAATCTGCAGTATTTCGAGGCCTGGGCAGCGGTAAATGGTAAACTGCACACAGACATATATTAATGGCCAAAATGATTCTAACAAAACTTCTGAATATTACAGGAAAGGACGTAACTCTAGTTTCACACTCAAAACCAGTTGGTACATGCTTGGAAGCAGCAAAAGAGTTGGCAGCCAAAGGAATTGAATGTGAAGTAAGTAGTCTAATACGATTTTAACAGTACTGAGATTCAATTCCATTGACCCCTGTGTGGGTTCCAAGATTTTATTTTTTGATGAAAAAGAATAAGACCCACAAGTCCTCCTCTAACAAGCATGCCATAAAAGTCTGCTAATTAAGGGTGTTTCCTTCGAAGTCTCAGAGTATCTGCCTAAGACGCAAGGAACCAACAGTCTGCTTACAAATAAACCAAATCTGTAAAACTAATGTGCACACAAAACCCAAATTCTGGAACAAGACCACAAGCAGACGAGCAACCAGAAATTAAAGCTGGTAATCGCGAAGAAGAAGAGGACTTCACCGTTTTACACCCCATCACACATGGTCAGTTCACATTTGTTTTGACCTTCTCACCCCGAGAAGCCGAAAAACTGACACTTTCTGTTGGGTACAGTTTCCCATAAATTTCACTTTTCCAGCTTGCCTTTAGTGACCTATTTATGAGATGTAGAGTTAATGCTGTTGGTTGAGTTTTTGCCTGCGCAAACTTTTAGGAGGATATGAATACATAAACTTTCCTGTGTGTGTTCCAGGGCCCATTGTAGTAAAATCAAAGAACAGACCCACTGCCTACTCAAAGGCGTATCAATTAGGAGCTTCCTTCAGAGTCAGATTGCATCTGCATGAAAGCCAAGGAGCCAACAGCTGCATACAAATGAGTCAGAACTGGATGTGCATGCAATACTACTAAGGCTGTTGAATTGGACTAAAGTCAAGAAGCGGATGAACGACCAGAACTTTCTGCTGGAGTTTACAGCTGGTGAATGCAAAGAAGAAGAAGAATACATAAACTGACAGTAGAATTTAAGAAGGGTTTTCCTTCCAGCTAAATGGTCTTTTATTAAAGCCAAGCTGACATTACATTTTCTCGTAAGCCTTAGAGTTAAAATTGTTCTTGTTTGAAATGTTCCAGGTAATCAACCTTCGTACATTGAGACCCCTGGATGATGAAACAATTTTCCAGTCTGTGATAAAGACCAATCATTTAGTGGTTGTAGAAGGTGGATGGCCCCAATGTGGTATCGCAGCAGATATCTCAGCAAGGATTATGGAAAGTATGATGTCATTTATTATTTATTTTCTTGGAAAAAAATATATCCCTAATTAATTAGGTGGTTTCCATGGTGAAGTGGTTGTTTTGTCTCATGTTGTGAACATGGGTTCGGTTTTTGACTCCTTCCTTTTGTTTACACGCACGGGTGTTAAGGAGATCCCTGGGGTGAGTTGCTGGAGCTCCAAAATGTGTACAATTTGTGTGATGCTCTCTACAGGCAAGCAGCTGATCGGCAGAGAGAGACTAGGCCATATGCCACAAACTCTGGTGCAATGAATTTGAACTTTGGGGGGTGGGGCGAGGGGAGGCCTGAAACAAACCTGAAACTATATTCATAATTAAGCATTGAGGTAACTTAACTTTACACATCCAGCTGTCACTTCTTTTTCTTCTAAAAGTCCATTCCGTGTGGCATTGATCATGATATATTTTCTACAGCCTTTTGTCGCAGGTACTTTCAGTGATTTCTGATACAGATGACAGACTAAGATATCTTTTAGACTTTCCTTGTCACTTTTCCCTTTCCAGTGGTCATAATGTACCCTAATTTACTCGTCATAATGTACTTTAATGTATCACTTTTCATTTTGGCCGTTGTGCTCAGAGAATGTGTATTATCTTTTTCTGGTATTGGTGACCTGTTCTCTTTGTAAGTTAACTACTTTCAGGACATTTTCATTACACTGTTTAATCTGCCCATGATGTTCTAATCATCCTTGTATAAATCTGCCTGCAGCTGCTTCTACGTTATTTGGTTGTTTTTTTAATCCACAAAACATATTTTAAAGGGGTCTAGGGGTGAAAAAAATCTCAACACTTTTTTTAAGTTTAGATTTTAAAATAGACTTTACTCTGCCTTTTACTCATATGCCTTTAAAAAAAGTTTTTATGGTGTCATGGCAGGCCTTTGAAAGTAAAAAGAGTTCTTGGGTCTTATCTGTTTGGGAACCACTGTTTTAGGAATTATTTGCACTTTTTCTAAGGATAAAATATACTTTTTTTTTTTTAAAGTGACTTTTTACCTTTCTTCCTCCTCTTCTTGTTCAACTGCTGTAAGCTCCGGCAGAAAGTCCTGGGTGTTCGTCCAATTGGACTTAGGCTTTGTGCCAGGGCCTGTGTTTTGCATGTACGTCTGTTTTACTGGCTTATTTGTGTGTAGTTGGTTGTTCCTTGCCGCTCAGACAGATGCACTCCGACTTCGAAGGAAGCTCCCAGTTATTCAACTCTTACGGCAATCAGGTAGGCAGTGGGTCTATTCTAGTTTTCCCCACAATGGAGCCCCGGAACCCACACGGGGAATTTTACCTTTCAATATATACTGCAGTAATATTGAATAGATTCTTGTTTTAATATTGAACAGGTTACACTTCATAAAAGTGCAAAGAGCAAAACATACTTTGTCCATTTGTATGTTACTGAAGCTGACTGGTTTTTTTTTTTTAAATTTTTTTAAATTTCCTAGTACTAGGCGCTTAATATTTGCAAACTGTTTTCATTTCCTTCAGGTCCAGCTTTCAACTATCTAGATGCTCCCGTTCTGAGGGTCACAGGAGCAGATGTTCCAATGCCTTATGCTAAAACATTGGAAGAGCATGCAATCCCACAGGCAAAGCATATTGTAACAGCTGTGAAAAGAGTACTTGGTTTGCCTTGATATATCGGAGTATTTAACTGGTGAAGTTGGTTTGTGGCATTTATTGTTTAGAATAGTCATCTCTAAAGTACTGAGGGCAATGAGTGTTTGTTTTTTGTAGGTTCAGAAAGGCTGTGCTTTCAGTACCAACAACTGACCAGGTGTTCATCAGTGAGTCCAAGGATGGCGAGCACCTTTCTGACTCTCTTGTATCACAAACACTGGTTACATTAACTCATGCAACCCTACTTGTTAGTTTAGTTCCATATGTCCCATAGTGTTATTATTTTAACCTCATCAGACTTATACAGTGGCTGCTTTACACTAGGATTCCCTCAGATAGAGTTGTAGTAGCTGGCTGGTACTCATAGGCGTTAAATAGTGTAGGAGCATGTATGTGATCGAAGTACAGCAGAAATGACTAATATTGGGATGAAAGGTATACGGACATTGAAAAGTGAATTCAAGTTGACATTATTGTGAATATAAGATTAACCCTTCTGCATAATTTATTTTGACATTTTTTAGTCAAGTATTACTTGTACAGATGATGTGATGTGTGATTCTGGGAGAGGAGGTCAGCATTTACTGTAGAAAAGCAGTAGACAGGACTGGCATTTTCTGTGAGTCGTATACTGGGGCGTCTAACACCTTTTTTTGACACATAGTATGTACCTTTGTCTACCAAGGAAAATCTCATAACTATTTTTGGCCATCTGTATGCTATCAGTGTCAATCACGGACCCTTACTAAAACTAATGAGTGCAAAATCATAACAGAGGTGCAGTGTCTTACAAATCTTACAAGAACTGTCAGAGTAATCAAAATAATTAATTAATAAATAATATCAAAATTATTTGTTTTTTTTTAAATGATGAAATTAGAATGCTTAGACTGAAACCATTCATACAGTTAATTAACTTTTTTGCGTTGTAAGTATCTTTAAAAAAAATGACCTTTTTTTTTAAAAATTTCATTTTTTAAAATTACAATATTTTCAACATTTTCTCTAAATCTACTCTCAGAAATCAGAGAAGAGAGAAGCAGAAGAAATTTGGAGTCTTAGTTAGTTTTTGTAAAAATCCTATGACCACTGAACATACAGGCAAGCCTACAAACTATTGCATTCCCCAAGTTGCTAAAAGATGAATCTTTCATAAATAGAGTCATTATTTTGTCCAGAGGGATTTTTAAATATTATGTGAAGGAAAGTAATCACTAAATATAAACATAGCAAAGAAATAACTGCTTCCTTTTCTATTGACAAAGACAATAGGTGTTGATACTCAGAGAGCAAAGTGATATCATAAGTTTATTATGATGTCATGAAGACAAAAAAGTCTTATTTCTTTTCACCCAGAATAATGTCTCAGAAATTTATTATTTTTCAATAAAAATAATCATACCCACCACATCTACACTGTGCAGTTATATACAGTACCAGTGCCGTTATTTATAGCATGTTAACCAGTAACGGAAAACTGGCCACAGGATTTAAGAGAAACAGATTATATGTTTTAGCCATCTGACAAAAATGCTTTGTTGTTTCTTTTAGTTGCCTACATTTTTTTTAAGTTTACCATTCGTTTACCATTGTTGTGTTCATTTTTGGTTATGTGTGGTTGATTACTCTATTGTAATTTCTGTGATAGTTACATATTTTCTATTTTTCTATTTTTGAGACTGTGATTGATTGTTGATATTGAGCTGTGAGCTCCCCCTTTTTATTGATGTGTTTTGCTTTCTCATGTAGAATTAAAGGTTATAGTGACTAGACAAGTGCTTTTTTAATTAACAATGTCAGAAGTGAAACCTTTTTTCACGTTAGTTAATTATAAGTTGATCTGATAATTAAACGGAAAAGTTGATATCTTAAGTTTTGTTTTACTTTGTTAAAGTACCTTAAGATTGTTTTAATGTGTTACAAAAACCAAAAACTTGAAATTGGTTGGTTCGTTACAAAAATGTCTTTGGTTAAGCATCAGCAAAGGAAATTAAAATTTTGAAAGCATGCATCTTCCCTGTAGCAACATACAGATGTGAGTAGTGAATTATCTCCTAATCCTTAAAAAAGAAAATAGGGGCTTTTGAACTGATATGATATAGAAAGATTCTCAGAATACCATAGACAAAGAAAAGAAATACTGACATTTAAAAGGATCTGAATATCAAGAAAGATTAGCTAATAAACAGCATCTTATCTCAGAAGCTGAAATATTTTGGTCATATAAAGTTCTGTAGCTGATTTGGAAAAAACCAACACAAAGATGGGCACAGGATGTAAGTGACTCCTTGAATATGAAAGTACACGAGGCTGGAGAGCTGGGGAGAGACCGAGTTTCTTTCAGGCAGACCGTGCTGAGAACGACATTCTGCAAAGGACCTGCTACATGATAATGGGATCTTCTACTGGTTTACAGACCTACTGTAGATTTATTGTTAATTTCACACTTTACCCTGCTGATCTAAATAATGTTGAACATTACTGAGAGACTAATGTTAGAATTTAAACTGTAAGAAAGCAGAATTGTCTTCTTTAAAAAAAAAATTAAAAGAATTGTGGAGAGAACAAACAGTAAACATTCACAAGACTCCATCAGCAGACGCAACATAAAATAATTTTCTGTCTAAGAACAGGACAATGCAGGCTCAACTACCACATGCATAAAATAAAGACTATACAGTCCCCACAGTGTGCCTGTCGGAAAGGATCACAAACGCCTGAGCACATTCTGCAGACCTGCCCACTCTGTCTACAACTTGGAAAAGAAACCTGGCCTCAAGAGCAAAGTGTGCAGAGCATGCTGTGGGGGAACCATAAAAAACATGCGAGTTCATAGAGGCAGCCCGCCTGATGGTCTGACCTGAGCATATGAAACCGAACACAAAGAAGAAAAAGAAGAGATGCCACAATGTACATCTAGGTTGATCTGGGTAAAGATATGACATCACAGCATTCAGGACAACCTCATATTAGCTCTTGTCTACCTTCTCAACAGCTAATGAAGTGTATCCATACTGTTGTTTCCCATTGTTAACTACTCATCTTGCTTTCCCCCAGAGTCTCGAGTGGTGCCCAGGGTCCACAGAAACTCCCTGCTGTATATCATTCTCTCCGCGTACAGGTTTTCACCATCTCCCATTTTACTTGCTACCTCCTTTCACAGGCGAGAGATCACTTCTGCCTTGTTCAGTTGCAGTGCATCCCCAAGTGGGGCAAGTCCAGCTAACCTATCTGCCTGTTCATTCCAAACAACTTACATAGCTGGGCAAAATGTCCATGTGACTCTCACCACCTGCTACCTCTCAAGTGATGGCAACCATTCTATACGAATAAAACCTGACTGAACCTTCATGAGCATGCTTTACGATCCTGATACTCTGACAGCATATGTGGCTGCCAAAATGTAACATCCATGTAAATAGGAAAATTCTTCTACAGCTTTTTTGAAGCACAAAAGAAATCTTGCAGAGATTAAAACAAGAATTAGCATGCAGGCTTAAAATCTTCAGGTTAATATTGAATCGAAACAAATATCTGCTTAAGAAGCTGTTTTGACATAACATTTCAGCTATAGTTCTCCCCCCCCCCCCCCTTTTTTTTATATTCAAATTCTGAGAATCAGCCAGTATTTTCAATTCTGGCAAACTGATTAAGTTGCAGATTTACATTATATTGCTTTTTTCAGAACATTTGTTAGTATGATATTAATCTTGCACAGAAACCTTGTCTCCAGAAATCTCTGTGGTTCCCCCCTCCCCTCCCCCCAACTGGGGGCTTCAGAACACACAAAGGAAAGTGGATACAGAAGACATCTGTTGTTTTCCACTGTTAATTCAAATAGTGATATTGTTTTCAACATGGACAAGATGAAGTCAAGAGAACTGGCTCCATTGCACTAGGTTTTATCCCATATGACTAGCCATCTGCTGCAATGCATGAACTCCATAGCTACAGTGATGATCCACTAAGATTTCTGTAAAAACTGTACTTGTGAACTGAACGGTGTAATGAACTCCTCACCTTCAGAGTGCACAGCAAACTGCCTGACCACTTCGCCAAGGAGATGGTTAAGTCATATCAGTATATCAAGGCTAATTTTTTTTTTTATGAATAGAACATGCACGGTTTTTATGACTATAACATACACAATTTGAATAAAACAATTTAGGCAGCAATATGCATTTAATAAAAACACAAATTGTAGAACAACAATAGGTAAAGGTGAATGAAGAATCATTTTCTTCATGTTGAGGTATATTGGATTAGGCTTTTTAGATCCAAAAACACAATGGGTGATATCTTGTCAGCCTTCTTTACTTCCCAAAACCTTTCTCTGGACCAGCCACCTATATTTGCCAGAGCATTCTGTGGTATCTATTTTAGGCTGACTTTTGTATTTAAAACATTTTTTTTAAAAACAAATCCCCACTATGTTGGATTTAAACACCCAACCACCTAAGGTAACAGATAAGTAGGCTAGCCACTTCATTAGTGCAGCTTTCACAACAAAGAATGGTGAGTAAAATAGCCATAGCTTTAAATGTTGACTAATTGCCTGCATGTGTTACTTGTGCCATAGTGGAAACACAGATGAGTAACACTGTGACCAACCATGCATGTCATAAGAGTAAATTAATCAAATGGCAAGACATAATTCCACTGGTTCTCAGTGAAGTAAATTTGCCAAGCACCCACGCACTAATGAAGAAATATAAAATCCATTGGGCTGCTCAATAAACCCACATGCCAGACCATCAGCTTCTTAAGAGAATACTTTATGATGAGCTACAGCAAGGGAAAAGATTCCCAGGTGGACAGAAAAAAGCACTACTAGGGCACTCTTAAAATGGCTCTCAAATTGTTTGACACGGAAAGAAACACGAGAGGTTGCACAAGACCAATCTGGATTGTGTACTTCCTCAAACATTTGCATCAGCCTGGGCTGACAGAGAAACAGAAGCAGACCCCCCAAAAAAGTGGTAAATCCCACCTTTACTGTCGCTGTCATCCACTGTCCTGCTGCTCAAGAACTTTCTGGGCTTAAATTGGACTCATCAGCCATCTTTGCACTCGCAATCACTGATGATTAATAAGTGTGGATGTAATGTGGTCTCAATCACTTGTGATGGATGAACAACAAGAGGCAGTTAAGAAGGTGCAGTACTAGCAACATTATCCCATAGAAAATTATAGCTGAAACATTCAACCAATTAAGAAGTCTAAATAGGGTTCAATGTGATTAGGTTGAGAGGTTATTCTCTGTAGGGAGATGAAACATGGAAAAAGGAATAATGGCATACTGAAGATGTTTATAAAATATGTAAATCTCATTACAAACTTCATGTCAGTGTTTAGCAAATTTTTAAAATAATATAATAATGGACATGTTATACAATGTAACCAGTCCCATAAATGTGATTCACGACTGTTATAAGCATAAGCAGTGAAGTTAAAATCCTAGCCTGTGCAATATGTGGGGCAAGCATATTTTATTCAGTCCAGAAAAACCTTCCTGGCAAACAGCAGCAATGGCATTCATGTGGTCAGGAATCTTTAGGCATAGAGGTGTCAATATATGTGCTTTAATATGTGTATGTATTGTGTGATCAATCCTATAAGGCAGAATCATCATCATTAACCACTTTTGCTGTTTATCGTCATGGGAAGGATTTGCAATTCAGTGCACGCTGGCTGCCACTGGCTATAAGGCTGAATGATATGTTATAAACTGTAGCCAAACTAAACATATTTAATTATATCAGATTTTCTAACCATGTTAAAAACTAACAAGATTGAATAATGTCATAATAAAACTAGATAAATGAACATCGCTTATACTACATAACCATCAATATAAAACTGATGGTTCCGTCACCAAGCTATTGAGTTGAGAGCATGGCATGACACAGTGAGCAGCAAATTTCATTTGGCTGAACTGTTGCAAATACTGCTTTCATAGGTGATGAACTGCAGTTCTTGTGGCAGAATGTTTGTGTTGGCTCTTCTGGCGGTTGCTTTATGCATTTAATGCATGTGTATACTATTGGCTTTGCTGAGACTGAAGTCTTTTTTCACTGTCTCCACAAGGAAAAGGGATGGGCATTCTATAAATTTTTTATGTATTTTTTCCACAGAAGTGGAGCATCTAAGGCAGCGCTTCTCAACCTGTGGGTCGAGACCCTTTTAGGGGTTGAATGACCCTTTCACAAGGGTCACCTAAGACCATAGGAAGACACATTCACTGAAGTTATAATGTCAAAAGGGGCTGCGTGGTCTCATGGCATGGCGTCCGCCTTGAGTGCTGGAGGTCCAGGGTTCTAGCCCCGGTGAAGGCTGGGATTTTTTCATGTGGACTTCTAGTATTTCCCCCAGTCTCTGGGTAGTAAGATCGGACACCCATGTGTATTGTTGCACACGTTAAAAACTCCTTTGGCAGTTGGAAATTGAAAAAGAGTAGACTAACGGCACTGCCCGGGCAAAATATGGAGTTTAAAATCTACCCAAAGTATTTCAGGATCCTAACCAGGTGCTATGGAGTTCGTGCACCGCGCTGAGATTCTTCAGACTCAGGCTTATGTCAGAAACAGAATAGAGCACTTATGGGTTACTACCCTTGTGCCATGATGTTGATCTGTCATCTAAATCTAAACTAGTTATGAAGTAGCAATAAAATAATTATATGGTTGGGGGTTGCCACAACATGTGGAACTGTATTAAAGAGTGGCCACATCAGGACAGGTTGACAGCCACTGATCTAAGGGAAACTGTGATAACCAATTTAAATGATAAAACTGAATCAGAACATTTTTTAAACTGACAAAAGTTAGTGTCTATTTCAGATGTGGCAAGTTGACTATGATAAACTACTGAGCCACACAATTATATTTTAAAGTAGCATTGAAAATAAATATATCTAGAGAATAACATTTACCAAATTTAGACATTACTTTTCTAATTTCTTGCAAGCTATGCTTCTAACTTAGCATGAAAAAAATATCAAATGTGAAATAAAATTTTAACTAGTCAGCTTCACACAGTCACAATCGGGTTCACAATCAGGAATAAATTAACACTGCGGCCAGAAAGCCGTTATCAGCTAATTTAATTCTAATTAAATTATGAGCATTTATGAAGCATTTTAACTTAACATTGATTCATTCTACCCTATTTGCTGCTCTAAAAACTTAAAATATTCTGAAGAATTCAAATCAATAACTGGCAGGCTGAATTCAGATGCTCTAGTGAGACAAAGAAGCAAAAAATCCATGAGATAATCTGTGTAGATGAGGAAATAGTAAGCAAAACTGCAGCCAGCCATAGCAACCAGCATATACATGGTACATCCAAGTAAAATAATTACTAATCAAAGAGAAATCCCCAAGAGACCTTGTAACATGAGGTAACTCTCTTCCTCTTGACTAGGAGTGAATGTCAATAAGCATATAACTTGGTTCTATTTATCTGCTTGTCCGGGCATTCACGTGTTTTGTTATAGTAGTAGAAGCATCCATCACGACGAATAAGTTTCTTCACAAATCCATTGTGTGGCCATCTGTCAACCTAGCAGTAAAATCAGCAACAATTAATTCAACAAGCACATTCAACTCATTCTGTTAAAAAAAAAAAAACCACATCATTAAAGCAGAGGATATATCTTCTTCTTCTTCAGCGATATCTGGTCATGTGTTTAATCCAATATGGGCCATAAACTGGGATGTCATCTTAACGTCTCTTAGGTTCCCCCAAAGATTAGTTGTCAGGTCTACTGGGTGTGGCCAAATGTTGATTCGCAGCTCTGCCAGGAGAGGATAGCCTTGGAAGACAGGTTCTGAGGTCTGTTCAGCACAAAGACACTGACAGAAAGTTGTTTGGCTCATACCTAATTTATGAGTGTTTGTTGAGTCTACAGTGTCCAGTGGGTAAACAAACAATTTTGACTTGGTCTCTTCTGTTCAGGTGAATAAGGAAATTTTGTTCACGGTTATAACCTGTAATTGTTTTCTTATAATTAGGGTTTTGACTTCTGGAAAAGACAGTGGCTGGAAGATTTGTAGTTCGCACAGGATATATGGTACTAGAGTCATATCTTTTTTATAGATCATTCAACATTACATGGATAATGTGGCCAACATCACACTGGCTACGGTTACTTCTCAGGGGACTTGTGTTTTAACTGTAGACTGGGTTAAACTGGCAGCCTAGTCCCAGATGTGGAACACTGAGTTTAAAAGGTAAAAAAGGTCCCTACCTGACTGTGGCACATCGGGCATAGAAGGCTAGACTCATATTTTGTAGACAATTACCCTTCAGATCTAAACCCATGACCTTAAGATCTGGAAGTGAGTGTCCAGCTGCTTCACCATGGCAACTCCAACACAGAGTTTGCTACCAAATATTCCCTATGATAATGTGCAGCACAAATGGGGCATGTGTTAATGGGACTGGAAACCTGGCTCTACCCTTCGATGCCAGAATATAGAACATCCTGTATGTATGTTGCACATATCTTTCAAAATTCTTTGGCAGTTATGAAGAATAGACAGACTATAGGTACAGGCAGCTGCCCTGGTATACCTTCATTATGAGAACACCTACCTACAGGATTTATACTTACACACCAGGACCTTGGAAGTGTGTATAGCTTAACTAAAATGTTTTTACAGTGGAAATCACATGGTGAAAGAAGAAAAAGGAAGATCCAAAAAAGTACTCACTAAGACCTTGGCATTGTGCATCATCATTATTATTCTGTCATGCCATTAAGAGGTCTCAAAGCATGGTATCCGCTTCGAGTGCTAAAGTTTCCAGGTTTAGTCTTCAGTAAGGGCTCGAATTTGTTCACATGGACTTGCACTTCTAGTAATTCCCCTTGGTCTCTGGGTAGTAAGATCGGATGCCCATGTGCATTGCTGCGCACGTAAAAAAAATCCCTCGGCAGTTGGAAATCGAAAAGAATTGCCTAACGGCGCTGCCTGGGCAAAATTTGGAGTTGAAAATCTACCCAAAGTATTTCAGGATCCTCGCCGGTGCTACAGAGCCTGTGCACTGTGTTGAGCTTCTTCGGACTCAGACTTGAGTTCAAAACCTCAAACTCATGCTATTATAAAATATACTTCACATGGCGTTCACAGCCAGATGCTCAGTTCCATTCTATCCTGTGCAATCCTTTTTCATATTGTGCATAGTTATAACTTAAATGTTATTACTCTGGAAGTCACATGGTCAAAGAAATAAAGGAAGGAAAATAAATTATATAAAGAAGAGAATTGAAAACAGGTGAATGAGATGGTAAAGAACAGGAAGGCTCTGCATATTTTTGTTGAGAAACTTTACTCCACTGGGTGATAAAAGAGAGATTGTCAACAGATTATCCACAATGCACATCAAAACATTCAGTCCATAAGTGCTCAGATACCCTCCTCAGTAAATCTTGCAGCTGTTGACATCAGTTCTGTGTTGGTTTCTTATTCTTGTTTGGCTTCCTGCATAATGCTCTTGTCTGGCCCAAAATCCTTTTAACTTGCTGTTCATGCAGTCTGGTTATGGTTGCAGATTGTCACTTGGTTCTCGTAGAGCATTTAGTCTATTGGTTTGGTCCAGGGCTCATCCAGATTTCATAGTAGTCTTACCTGTGGGCCTATCATCTTGCTCATTTCCTTGCATGCCCTGGCAGAAAATTAAACTGATTATTACCAGCCCCAACCACCTCACATATACCAACCACTGTTCTTTGCCCAGCCAACTCTTGTCTTCCAGAGCTGAGCATACTCTTGAGACAAAGAGAATGCATGTGTGGGTGAAAGTCTGCGTCTCCAGCCATGTTATGATTTGGTCACAAACAAAGAAAAAAGTATTACATTTTTTAAAATTATTATGTTACACTTAGCAGCTTAAGATAGAGATATACCAGTTTTGAGGATAAACCTAAAGATAAACTTACATGGTCGGTTCTTTGAACTTCTCTATATTCTATTTCATCCCTGTATCCAGCTAACTGAAATCGATAAGCCTCTTCTACTGCTTCATCCCACTGTGTTGGTCGCATCATGGATTTAGGTTTGCTGACTGAAATCACTCTCAATGATTTGGCCATCACAGAAGAAAAACATTTCCTTAGTAACTGTGAGAATAAAAATAAATGAGAATTCACAACAATGTTTTGCTATTGTAAAGTTGAATAAGGAAGCCACAAACAAAACACTACTAAATTTATTGCCTGCCATAATTTTCTGTATTGTCTTATCAAGAGAGATAACAAGTAAAAGGAACTTTTTCCACACTTTCAAGCATGCTGGGCTAGACCTATATTTTAAAGACCAATCGGCAGCTGGGGGGGGGGGGGGGGGGGGGTGGAGAGGGGGGGGGGGGTGACGTGGTCATCACTCACTCAAGGCTGGGTCAACCTGGGAGGTAAAGTCTTTTTTTTTAAAGTCTGACATCATCAGGACCCAAACTTACGACCTTCTGATCCGCAGGTGAGCATCTTGCCATTACACCACAGCGGGTCCCTACCAGAGAAATAAGTAAGAAGCAAAACAATAAATGCTTATAACTGAAAGAAACATAACCTTTTCCAGAGTTTTACTGTATGTACTCGTATGAGACCTTTAAACTGACTTAATATATCTCTGCACAATGATGTTAAATGTAGGCTTTTTTCTGGCAGTGCACAAGGGCATGCAGTACCTGCAGCTTTTTTAAGGCATCATTTTTAGCGTTCGCTGTAATGGACACTATATAGTAAGTACAGGCATTGGCTCTCCTCCGAACTACCTGATATTATTGTGGCCAAATTAATGCCCTAACAGGGCCTCAGTCCTGTGCAGAATGCGGAGTTTCTGTTGAGGAACACATCGTGGCAAAACTAGGGGCAAATCCTAAATCGGAAGAACAGAAAACACTACTGCGCCCGGGGCATGGGCCCCCCCCAAATTCATTTTTTTCGTCTGTAAGTTCGTGTCTCAAAAAATGTCAACGGTCGCTTTATGTCTGTTTCGTCGTCTAAATTTTGCTCCTTGAAATTGTAAAGAAATTTAGTTTTGGGCCAAGATTTGGCCCTCGACAAAAAACCAAACTTTTGTCCCGGCTGAGGTCCTGTTAGGCTATTTGGGGGGCCCCCCCAATAATATGGGGGAATAAATTTCAGAAGACCCCGGGAATTGTGGGAAAAAGCCCTGCGAAACCCTAAAATTTTGCTACAGTTTATTAAATTTTTTTGGGGGCCCCCTCCCCCGAACTTTAACCCATAAATTTGGCAGCCAGGGAAATTGCAGAGATAGTAGCAGACGATAATAGCGAAAAATTGAAATTTTTAGAAAGCAAAAATTTCAGAGATAATAGTTTCATGGCGCAAAGACCAGCACTTGAACCCGTTAGCATCGGGGTTGCCTTTAACTTTTTGGATGCGCCCCAAAGTTTTTTAAACCAACAGCCGACAGTAAACCCGGCGCCTACGCCCCCTTTTTTTTTTTTTTTTTTTTTTTTTTTTTTTTCCCCGCCCGTTTTTTTTTTGGTTTTTTTTTTTTTGCCTTTTTTTTTGCCTTGGGGGACTTTTAAAAATTTTTGGCCCCCAAAATTTTAAATTTGGGGAATTTGCCGGGGATGCGGTAAGCTGCCGCTCTGAGTCCCCCCATCTAGTTTACTGTCGGGGATTGTTTTTCCCTAGTCACGAAACAGGGGCCCCCAAATAACATTTGCGAAAACCCCTTTTGAGCATTGTTTTTTTTTCGGAGCCGATCCCAGTTTTCCGCAATTTTTTTCCTTGGGGAGAAAATTTCCCCATTTTTCACCGCCCGAGGGCCTGTTAGGGGTTTTGCTTGGGCCCCCAAAATGGGGAGAAGTTCGGGGAGAGCCCATTTTTTTTTTTTTGACGCCTGGGTGCTTCTTTGACAGTCCCATGGCGATTTATCCCCGGGCATTGGCTAATTTACTCAACCTGGGAGGAATTTTCATTCAGGACTACATGGGGGCGAGCAATTTTAAGCGGGGAAAGCGGGGGCAAATTAAAAATAGGGCCCCAAAAATTGATGCGCCCCCGGGGGGAGGCCCCGCTTCCAAAAACCCGGAAAATTCTCGAAGTCTAAATTTGGGTAAGGGGCCCAAATTTTTAAAAATTTTTCATGATAAAAAATTTTCCTAATTAACAGCTGCCCAAAACAAAAAATCCCCTATTTTACGGTTTTAAATTTTAATTTTAAATTTTTAACAAAATTTTGTCACATCAAAAACCCTTTTAAGGGAAAATAAAAGTAGAAAAAGGAGAACGTTTACGGGCCCTGGATCAAAGTAAAAAGTCCAAAAAATTTTGCACCAAAAATAGGCCCCCATACACACACAGGAAATCTTTCCCATTTTATAGCCCGTTTACCCAGGGAACCCGAAACATTTTGGT